TGCTAGTGCTCCACACCCTCTGCTAGTCCTCCACCACCTCTGCTAGTCCTCCACCACCTCTGCTAGTCCTCCACCACCTCTACTAGTGCTCCACAACTTCTGCTAGTGCTCCACTATTGAGCTGCCTCTCCAGCCCATGCAGGGCTCTTGATCTCTACAAACCTGTATTTGGCATTCTCTATCAAGCAGCCTAGTTTTAATATATTATAATTTTCTCCCCGAAGAAAGATTAAATGCTGTCTCTGTTCCAAGTTCTATGGGTTTCTTCTTTGCCCACAAGTGCTAGAATTATAGGCATAGGATACCATGCCTGGCTACCTTGTTTTTAAACACAAATATCTTTATCATTGGTCTTTTAAAAATGTGTGTGTGTGTGTGTGTGTGTGTGTGTGTATTTATGGATGGGTATGCAGTGTGTTGGTGCCTGAGGAGATCAGTAGAAGGTATTATATTACTTGGTGCTGGGATTACAGGGAGTATGAACTGCCTCATTTGGATGCTGGGATCTGAACCCTGGTCCTGAAGAGCAGCAAGCACTCTTAATTACTGAGCCATCTCCTAAGTACCAATTTGGTTTTTTTTCATTTGCTTGTTTTTATTTTTATTTTTTTTTAGATTTATTTATTTATTATGTATACAATGTTATGTCTGCATGTATGCCTGCAAGCCAGAAGAGGGCACCAAATCTCCTTATAGATGGTTGTGAGCCACCATGTGGTTGCTGGGAATTGAACTCAGGACCTTTAGAACAGCAGCTAGTGCTCTTAACTGCTGAACCATCTCTCCAGCCCCTATTTGCTTGTTTTTTAAAAGAAATCCTTCCCTACTACTAAATCTCTTGGTGTTTTGCTTCTGAGCCATTAATAGTTGAGCCATCTTTCTAGCTTTCTACCACTTTCAGAGGTATTTTCTTCATTATTCTGTCACAGCTGCCCCCACCCCACCCCCACCCTTACTCACTTGAGGTCAACTGTAGGATGTTGTACTTAGGAGCCTTGCACCTTGTCATTTTAAACAGGCTCTGTCACTGGGATCTGGCTGTGTATGACCTTCCAGGTCTGGGATTACCAGGGCTCACCAGCACACCCATGCATGCACCTTCTTTTGTTGTTGTTGCTTATTTAAGACAGGGCATTATGTAGCCCAGGATTGCCTCTATAACTCAGAATGGCTTTGAGTTTACTGATTGTTTTGCTTCTATCTCCCAAATGCTGGGTTACAGGGTATGCACCATCATACCCAGTCCTAATTATTTTTTAAATTAGTTTATACTGTGACTTAATTACAACCTAATTGCATTTAGTTTTTCAGTTCAAGTGGAATTCAGTTTTGTGCTAATGTTAGATAGAGATCTGGTTTTATTTTCTTTAAATGTTGCTTATAAGAATTTTCTCTAAGTCTCTATTATAAGAATTGATCGCTGCCTTCATTATTGAGTTGTAAAGCCAAGAGGTTATAATTTTCTCTTAGCACTGTGGTCAAGTGACCAAGGCTTGACCTGAATATTTTAATGTTCTTTAGCTGAAGAAGAAGCAAATGAAGAAGATGTACTGGGAGATGAAACTGAGGTAAGTTGGGAAAAGTTAGTCACTGGCCTGCGAATGTGTCACTGCTTTGGCTGAATTGCTTACTGTAAGTGGTTCTTAGATGCCTGAGAAGAATGAAAGACTAGTTCATTTTGGAGTTCTTATATTGTCTCTTGATGAATATTCCTTTATTTTCCTAATAGAATTTAATTCATGTCTTTGAGCAAGGGTCTTATAGCCCAGGCTGGCCTCAGATACAATATGTAGCTGAAGATAATCTGAACTTCTGTTTTTTCTATTCCCACCTCCTGAGTGCTGCCATGTCCAGTTTATCTTTTCTTAAAATGGATATTTTTGTTGTTATTTTTAATGGAAAAAAATTGCATGTGTAAGTGTATGAAATATTTGGCTCAAACATGTAGAGTTGAGGACAAATTTTTTGGAGTTAGTTCTCTCTTTCCACCTTGTTTGAGGTCCAGTTTTCTTTTATTGTTACTGCTTAGCTGTATACTCCAGGCTAGCTAACCCTGGAGCTCCAGAAACTTCTTTAGTCTCAGCCATGCATTTTGCTGTGTGTGGGAGTGCTGGGTTGCAGATCAGCATCACTGCGTCTGGCTCTTAACTTGGTTCCAGAAATTGAACTTAGGATCTTGTGACTTCAGCCATCTTGAGGCCTTAATGGGTATTTTTTGAAGATTTTATTTTATTTTATTTTGGTTATGTGTCTGTGTGTCGATATATGTCATGTGCATGTGGGTGTGGTACCTATGGAGGGCAGAAGTGTCAGATCTCCTGGAGCTGGAGTCATAGGCAGTTATGATCTGCCTGAGATGGGTGCTGGGAATCAAACTCCGGTCCTTTGAAAGAACAGTATGCACTCTTAAGTACTGAGCCATCTCTCCAGAACCCCTTAGGGATATTTTATTTTTTTCTTCTTTTTGGGTTTTTGAGGCAGGGTTACTCCTTTTTGGTTTTATTGAGACAGGATTTCTCTGTGTAGTTCTGGCTGTCCTGGGACTTGCTTTATATACCAGGCTGGGCTGGCCTCAGACTGAGAGATCTACCTGTCTTTAATCCACATAAGTGCTGGGATTAAAGCCATCACTGCCTGACTCTTAATGGATAGTCTTGATTTATGTTAACCATGTTGTTTCATTTGGTTTTAGGAAGAAGAACCAAAGCCCATAGAACTACCTGTTAAAGAGGAAGAACCTCCTGAAAAGGCTGTTGATATGTAATTATCACTTTTTAATAATCTGTGGGTCCCCCCCACCCCCCACCCCCGACAGGATTTCTCTGTGTAGTTCTGGCTGTTCTGGAACTTGCTTTGTAGACCAGGCTGGCTTCGAACTCACAGAGATCTGCCTGCCTCTGCCTCCCAAGTGTTGGGACTAAAGGCGTGTGCCACCACACCTGGCCCTTTTAAATAATCTGAATAAGAGCACATAGTTCTATTTTTGGTGTGCTAGTGTGTATATATGTGGAGAATGATGTCAGGCATCTTTCTTAATCATTCTCCATCTTAGGTTTTTTTTGTTGTTGTTGTTTGCTTCTTTGTGTTGTGTCCCATGTCCCATCCCCCTGATGTCCCCTAAGTCAGAGTCTGACTATGTAGCTCTGGCTATCCTGGAACTTGCTCTGTAGACCAGGCTGGCTTTAATCCCAGCACTCTGGAGGCAGAGGTTAGTACTAAAATACTTTATAGAAATTTTCAACACATAGGGAATCATAGATTCTAACTGAAAAATCTATTATAGTGGCTCACAAAAGAACAAAGGCTAGGAGAACTGAACTGTGCCTATATTGAAGTTAACTTGGTTCTAATTACCTAATATAGAACGTAAAGGAAAATTTATTTTCTTCACTGGAAACATACTTAAAACAGATCTTTCTAAAAACACCTGACTTTATCAGAAGTGAAAAGGTCAGTGGGAATATGTAACAAGTAAACTGGATGAAACTTTAAACCAGTACGTTTTTAAGCACTATCTGGGATCCTAAGGGTTCCACTGGTTAAATGCTTGCAAAACAAAACCTGGAGAACTGAGTTCAAGCCCTAATCTTACTGTGAAAGACAGGTGTAGAGCAGGTGCCTAAGACCTCAGTACAAGATGGAGACAAACTCCTGGGGCTCATTGGCTAGTTAGTTATTCTACTCAACGTGAACTCTCTGCCAGTCAGAGACCTTGTCTCTACCATGCTCAGTCCTGTAAACCTTTACTTGTAGTTATCATAAAGTGTAGTATAGACAAAACAGTGTTCATAATGACGTAACCTGTAATGGTCAGGCTGGGTGAAATTATAATAGCATGATTCAAATGTACCTTTGCTACTAGCTAATCAGTCACAGTGTTTCCAGGTATGAAACAGATAAGCCTATTGCATTTCTGTTTGATCTGTACAAGCAGAAAAATTCTCAAATATAAAGAAGGGCTACATTAGATCATGACAAGTCTTAGGGTTTTATTGCTGTGAACAGACACCATGACCAAGGCAGCCCTTATAAGGACAACATTTAATTGGGGCTGGTTTACAGGTTCAGAGACTCAGTCCATTATCACCAAGGTGGGAACATGGCAGTGTCCAGGCAGGCATGGTTAAGGAGGAGCTGAGAGTTCTGCATCTTCATCTGAAGGCTGCTAGCAGAATACTGACTTCCAGGGAGCTAGGACAAGGGTCTTAAAGCCACACCCACAGTGGCACATCTACTCCAACAAGGCTACACCTCCTAATAGTGCCATTCTCTGGACCAAGCATATGCAAATTATCACACAGTCTCAGCCAGTAAATCAGTTTTCAGACTTGAGCCAGTTTGCAGACCTAGAACCACTTGAATGAAGGGGTGGCAAATAGGGATGCTGTTTGGAGCCATTGGCAGGCCCCTATAGGTGAATCACAGAGGAGACCTTTGGGATTTTGGAGCAAGGCTCTACCATCATCTGCAGACAACTGTTTTCCTTTTGAAAGGCAATTCTTGGCCAGCTTTTGGGTCTTAATGGAAACTGAAGGTTTGACAGTGGGCCATCAAATTACCATGTGACTTGAACTGCCCATCGTGAACTGGGTGTTACTGGACCCACAAAGTCATAAAGTAGGACATGCTCAGCAACAATCTATTATCAAATGGAGTTGTACAATATTGGGCAGGTCCTGAAGGCAAAAGCAAGTTACATAAAGAACTTGTCTAAATGCCTATGGTTTTTACTCCTGTTAGAGGTAGGAGGACAGAGACAGGGCCTGGTATAATGGCTATTCCTGGTTGTCAACTTGACTATATCTGGAATGAACTACAATCCAGAATTGGAGGGCTCACCTGTAATCCAGATCTTGCAGCTGGAAGACACAAGCTTCTGACCTGGATCTTGGCATGGAGATCTTGAGGCATAGTGGGCATGGAAAGCTTAGGCAAGATAGAACATGCCTAATCTCAGGAGAACAGGGGCAAGGAGATCTCTGAATTCAAGGTCAGCCTGGGACAAAGCAAGTCCCAGGCCACACTTTCTGCTGGAGGCCTATCAACATAAGGACATTGAAAGAAGGAAGATTTACTCTTCTACTGCTTGCATTTACTTGCCAGCACATTTGTTAGAACCTACTTCTGTAGAAGAGTAGCTTAAACAACTAGCCCGTGGGATTGAGCAACTACTGAATTTTTGTACCCTATCCACAGCTGCCCATTGTTGGGTTAGATGGACTATATAGACTAAATCATCACAATAAATTCCTTCAATATAGAGAGACATTCCATAAGTTCTGTGACTGTAGAGAACTCTAATACACCTGGATGGAGGATTTGAAACCTCTTTTCTTTCTTTCTTTTTTTTTTTGTTTTGGTTTGGCTTTGGTTTTTTGAGACAGGGTTTCTCTGTGTAGCCCTGGCTGTCCTGGAACTCACTCTGTAGACCAGGCTGGCCTCGAACTCAGAAATCCACCTGCCTCTGCCTCCCAAGTGCTGGGATTAAAGGCGTGCGCCACCACTACCCGGCAAGGATTTGAAACCTCAAAGCCCTCATTTCCTCCAACAAGGCACACCTCCTAATGCCCCTCCCTTATGACCAAACATTCAAATCTGTGAGGCTGTGGGGGACTTTCAGCAAGGCCACACCTCCTGATGCCACTTGGGACCTACTTGTAGAACCTGTAGGGGCCATTATTCAGACCACAGTTAACTTTCCAGAACATTTTTGTTTTTTTTGTTGTTGTTGTTTTAATTTAATTTTCCCCACCCCCACTTTTATCCCAAGATTAAACTGAGGGCGTCATGTATACTAAGTATATAGTCTATACTCTCAGTCTGCAATGTAGATTTATAATTAGATATAGTACCTAGAGAAAATGATTTAATGAAATAGTTATAAAGAGTTTTTTTTTTTTTTTGGAAAATGGATCATATTAGAATATGTAAAGTATAAATCTCCTTTTAGATAGCTTTAATCCTATTAATGGATTTGCAAGAAAGACATTAAAAATTGGACGGTATTGTAATTTTGCTTTGCAGAGAAATAGTTAATGGTTTTAGGTGAAACTATATGGAAAGATTTTTGAGATCCTATATTTAGGGAAATACTTTTTGTATGTGACTGGATAGGAGAAAAATTAGTCGGGCGGTAGTGGTGTACGCCTTTAATCCCAGCACTTGGGAGGCAGAGGCAGATGGATTTCTGAGTTTGAGAGTTCGAGGCTAGCCTGGGCTATAGAGTGAGTTCCAGGACAGCCAAGGCTACACAGAAATCCTGTCTCGAACCTCCCCCCCCAAAAAAAAAAAAGGAGAATAATTAGTCAATGAAGAATAGAGATTTCTCATGAATCCTATGAAGATGCAATGTGTATTTATTGCTTGGGTTTAATGTGTCTAAGTGTCCCGGCCCGAGCTGCTGCTCTGGTCTGCGGGTCAGGCTCTAGCAAGAGAGGGAGGGGGGATGGAGGGGCAAGAGACTCGAAGAATGGAGACAAGGCAGAGAGTCTGTTCAAGTCCCCTTTATTGAAGGAAAATCCTGGGTATATATAAGCACAAGCAGGGGAATGCAGCTGAAGACACTTTACCACGTGCGCCTTACAGCTGGGGGCATTAAACAACAGAACAAGATATGTAAGAAAAACAAGATGTTTATCAGAGTGTGCTCAGCTGTTGTAGGCTTTTGAAAACAAGTCTCTTCTTAGGGTTTATGGCCTGAGATGGCTGCAAAGATGATAGCCGCTTTCTGCTAGGAGTCAGCTCCCAACATCTAAGGGAATTGGAATATGAGAAGTTCCCTCTCAGGTTCCCTTTTTACTCCGAGGCTTACTGTAATGATTGTTTTTCAAGATGTGAACATGGGAGCTGAGGTTGTCATTTAGTTGGTAGAGAGCCTACTGTATACAGAGTTCTGGGTTCAGTCCCCAGCTCTGAGTGAAACTAGATGCAGTGTTGCATGTTAATCCCAGCATTAGAGAGGTGGATGCAGAAGGATCAGAAGTTGATATCCTTCTCAACCAAGTATTTGAAATACTGTCTCAAAAACAACAAAAAACAAGACAGATGAAAATGTGGAAGTCATTATCTATCCTTAAGTTGATGGAGAAGACTGGCTCTGGCTTCCCTTGCCCCACAAGGATTGGTATTTAAAAAGTGTGTGGTACCATACCTAGCTTTTGCTCCTGTCTTAGGAAAAAAGAAGTCACAGAAGTTTATGTTTTACTTAAAGTCTAATTTCATTAAAAACAGGCCAGGTGGATTCGGCCTGTTCTGTTTTGTCTCGAGACAGTGTTTCTCTGTGAGACTAGGCTGATCTTGCCTCTGCCTCCCAAGTGCTGGTATTTGTTTTTTGAGGGTCTGTAGCCCTGGATCTCCTGGAATGTGGTATATAGTCCAGTCTGGTCTTGAATTCACAGACATCCTCTTGTCTCTGCCTCTCAAATACAGGACTTAAAGGTGAATGCTATCATGTCTGGCTGTGTCCATGCTTTTAATTCCAACACTTGGGGAGCAGAGGCAGGCAGAGTTCAAGGCCATCTGCTCCATACAGGAATTTACAGGTCAGCCAGGATTACAAGGTAACAGACACCCTGTATTAAAAAGATAAGAGAGGTAATGGAGTGTGTAGTAGTGCACACCTGTAATTTCAGCACTAGAGAGGTGGAGGCAAGAGAGGAGTTTGAAGATAGCTTTGCCTGAATTAGAGAGGCCATGTTTTACACAACAGCAATAAAAAAATGGAGGGTTAGCAAACAGTCTGAATATTCCAGGGCTGATTTGAACCCCTTGTGTATCCAAAAGGAAAGCTCTTTATATCATCTTAGGCCTGAAGTTATGTGTAAATCCACTTCTGTTTCTAGTTTTAAGGTTTTTTTCCCAGGAGCCAAGACAAATATTGTAGGACTTTGTTATGGTCAGCAGGGGGCATTCGTTAGTTAGTTATTCGTTGCCTGTTAGTCTAAGGACTTCCAACAAAAAGATGGAGGAGAGTTAGGTTGTGGTCCAGAATTGCTTCCTCTGAAAATGTCATTAAACCATTACTACCTTTCAGGGCATCAAATGGGAAAAGTGTTTGGGATATTGGAACAAAAGCTGCCCATGTCTCTAAATAAGGGACCTTAATGAGACTGGTTATGACCTGCAGTTTTATGGGAGTTGTTTGTTGGAGAGTTAATGCCCTTCTATTTATCCTGGGGACTTCCGAACTTTGTCTCCTGCCCCTGCGGTCCCCCTCTTTTGTTTTCTCTTAAGCCTTTTGACCAGTAACTTACCATGTTTTCCTAATTCAGCCCCCACCTCCTTAGCCTTTCTTCTTCCCACTTCCTGTGGTATTTTTATTTGTTCTGCTTTGACGGTTTCAGCTAGAGCTAAAATCCCACGGGAGCAATAGAGACTTAGAAAAGAAGGAAATCAGGGCTGGTACAGCACTAGTTAAATATTGTAATGAAAATCGAGAACTTGTATTTAATTGAAGGTTGGAGATATAGATCTTAGTTCAGAAGTAACTGTGAAGTGCCTAAAAGCAAATGAACTGACTTAGGGTGTGTGTCCCTTCAGCCCAGCCTGCTTAGCCTGACTTCTTAGCTGATTGTCTCGAACCTTAGTTAAAATAGCTTAGCTTTTTCTTCTCCGTTAATGACAGTTCAAGGAGCCAGAGTTCTTATGGACTTCATGTTTCTTTGGATTAAGGGGTGGTAGACACATGTGGGACAGGGGACATAACTCAGGTGAATTCTTGCACATTTCTAATGTTTTGGGTTAAGATAGCAATTTTCTGACTTTTAAAAATCTGTCTTTTTAGGGCATCAGAAAAGAAGGTGGTAAAAATTACATCTGGAATACCTCAGACTGAGGTAAGTATTCTTTTTTTAATTTTTATTGAGGTGGGGTTGGGGATGTGGACAGAAGACAGTTTTTGTTTGTTTGTTTTGTTTTGTTTTTGTTTTTCGAGACAGGGTTTCTCTGTATATCCCTGGCTGTCCTGGAACTCACTCTGTAGACCAGGCTGGCCTCGAACTCAGAAATCCGCCTGCCTCTGCCTCCCAAGTGCTGGGATTAAAGGCGTGCGCCACCACTGCCCGGCTAAAAACTTTTTTTTAAAATTACATTTTATTTATCTATCTCTTTGTGTGTGCGTGTGTGCGCACGCTCGCGCAGGTCAGAGGACAACTTGGGGGGATTGCTTCTCTTCTAGCATGTGGATTCCAGAGATAAAGCTTAAGTTGTCTGGCTTGGCATTGAACAACATTGCTGACTGAACCATCTTGCTGGACTTAGTCAGGTCTTTTGTTTCTTCTGCTATGATGTGTACTCCAGGATAGCTGGCCCATGAGCTTCCAGCAGATAACCACATCTCATCTTGAAACAGGAGTGCTTGGTTTATAGATGTGTACTAGCACATTTGACTTTTACATGTGTTCTGGGACATTCTGGCTCAGATTATCAGACTTGCACAGCCTTTCAACCATTGAGTCCCCATTTTAATTTTAATTTTTGTTCTTTAGAATAGCATCTTACTGTGTAGCTCAGGCTGGCCCCAAACAAAGTCTTTCTATTTCAACATCCTGAGTGTTAGGATTCTAGGTATATGTCACCATGCCTGGCTGTTTCTGTTTTTAACCTTTTCTTCTGTCTTCATCATTATTTAAAAGTTTTCATTTAGGGATGTTAAGTTGGCACTATAGGTAAAGATCCTGTGGCTAAAACCTGAGTTTGATCCATGTAAATATTTTATTCATAGACAAATTTATTAGGGGAATTGGGCGGGGGATGGTGACAATTGATGTTGTCTTTCTCCAACTCAGGAAAATATTTGAGCTGGTATGGTGAGTAGTTACCTTTAAGCTGTCATCTGTTACATATACCACTGTAGTCCTAATAGTAACTTTATTGGGTTTATAGGTATAGGATTAGAGTTTGAGAGGACTGTATGTACTTTGGAAAAGTAACAGTGGTAAATGTTCCTTTAAGTTGTTAGTTGGTAGCTGGTGAGAGTAAAATTTCTTTGGATTCTTACCTCAAGATGCTTGAAATCAGGCTTTGTTTGAGATCTTTTGTTCAGTTTTGTACTTTCAAAGTAGAGGGGTTTGTTGTTGTTGTTGTTGTTGAGACCAGAGGGTTTCTCTGTGTAGTCCTGGCTGTCCTGGAACTCACTCTATAATCCAGGAGGCCTCAGACTCAGAGATCTACCAGCCTCTCTGCCTGGCGAGTGCTGGGAGTATGCCTCCATGCCTGGCTCATAGCTGAGATTTGTTCACTTATTTTAGAGTTCAGGGAGGAAGTGTTTTGTTGTTGTTGTTGGTGGTGGTGGTGGTGGTTTTAACTGTTAGATTACCTGTATTAGAACCAATATGTTCCTTTGATTGATCTCTGTCTATCTGTCTATCTATCTATCTATCTTTTTCAAGCAAAATAGAACTTTTGTGTTTTGGGGTTTGTATAGAATATGAATTTTATTTTATTTCTTTTTGTTTTTGAGAATATGACTGCAATAAGTGTGTGTGTGCATGCGCATGCACGCACACTTCCTGGAATCAATTGTGTTGTCAGTGTTTTCAATTTAGATCTTAAGAAATTACCCTAACCAACTTTTTTTAAAAAAATAAGAAATTACAGTTTTCTCTTCATTTTGTCATTTATTATCACTTAGAGAATGCAGAAGAGGGCTGAACGATTCAATGTGCCTGTAAGCTTGGAGAGTAAGAAGGCTGCTCGGGCAGCTAGGTGAGTACTTCCAAGGTGGAGAGGTTATGACAGTGTAGGGGGTTATATCTTTGTTTCTAGTTATAATTATTGGTTTCAGTAGAAATGTTTTTATTGAACTTAATGAATACAGTTTGGGCCATACTCAGGGCATTTCTGCTGATTTGGATGTAGTAGCTATATGCTGGGTTTTGTCATCATTGGTCAAGGTTTTTATGATAGTTAAAAGTCAGGAACTGACAGCTGCTCCTGAGTCTGAGGATTTCTTTTAGTGGACTCTTGGACTGTTGGTGAGAAGGAGAGTAAACTGAACCTCTTTCATGGGGTTGTTAGAATTAGCTAATGATTGCAAAGTTTGAGATCACAAGAAAGAAGTGTCATGCACCCTTGACACGGACACAGACAACTAAGGGTGTGAACAGCTTCCTAAAATTTAGCTTGTTTTTTCTTCTTACAGGTTTGGAATTTCTTCAGTTCCAACAAAAGGTGAGAGAATACAGAGGTTCTTCTGAGAAAGCTTACTTTGTCTTTTTTCTGACTATAGATTTCATTCTTCCAAATTAAGGTAACTTTGTTGGTTCTAGAAGCCCTTAAGAAGCTACAGCATTTGTTACCCTTAAGACCTCATGAATAATCAAGAGAATGTTCTGAAGTTTTATGAGAGAGAAGATCTCATCATTTGTTTTTCTTTTCTAGGACTTCGGAGAAATTTTTAGTACCTTGTTCACTTATTTTTGTGTCTTATTAGCATACTTCTTTAGTGCTCTGAGCTGACATAGTAGTATGTATAAACTGTAGTATAGTAAATTATGTAGAATGTTAAAAATGATATTTTAAGGGCTGAGGAGATGGCTCAGTGGGTAAAGTGCTTGAAAAGAATTTGATCCCCAGAACTCACATTTAAAAAAAAAAAAAAAAGCAGCCTATAGTAATGTGTGTTTATAAGTGGTTGGCAGGCAGAGGCAGGTTAGGTACCTGGGCCTTCTGGCTGGTCATCCTGAATAATTGGTAAGCTTTAGGCCAGTGAGAGACCCTCTCTCAGTAGAACAAAACAGATCCTGGGTAACCATACCTGAGATTGCCCTCTGGTTTGTACGTGTACACACAAAATATAATACTTTAAGATAGGGTATATCAGTGTATTCCTGCACTTGGGAGACTAAGGCAAGAAAATCGCCATTTGAAATCCAGCCTAGCTATATCTTAAAACAAGAGCCAGGGTGGTGGTGGTGCACAGCTTTAATTCCAGCACTTGGGAGGCAGAGGCAGGTGGCTGTCTATGAGCATGAGGCCAACCTGGTCTACAATGTAAGTCCCAGGACAGCCAGGGCTACACAGAGAAATCCTGTCTTGTGGAAGAAAAAAATAAAAGGGCCTAGTGGCTAGATCTGTATCTTAGTATGTAGTGTTATTGCCTAGCATGCAAGAAAAATGGACAAAGGATTTGGGGTTCAAGGTCATCCTCTGCTGGATAGATACTATATTAGTTCCTTTTTTGTTGACGTGATAAAACACATGATGGAAGACAACTTGAGGCAGAGAGAATTTATTTTGGCTTATGGTTCTAGAGGGGTAAGAGTCCACAGTGATGGATCAGAGGCAGGGCACCAGGCACCAGGCATGGTGGCAGGAACAGGGAGCTGTGAGCTTATATCTTGAAACATACATGGAGCACAGAGAGAGAACTGGAAATAGGCTGAGCTTTCTTTTTTTCTTTGTTTTTAGTTTATTCAGAGGTCTGATACTCACCAGCTATGGCAGATTTTGTACTGATTACCAGTTAGTTATTTTTCATTCCCTCTTCTGCCCAGTGCTTAGTCAACCACTGATGTTTGTCTCCATTTATGAATTACCTTCACACAAGTGGAAGCATGTGTGTGATCTGTGGTCTTTTGTAATTAGCTTTTTACTTAGCATAAAATTTCACTTTGAACCACAGGGTGACCTCAGACTTGCTGTGTAGCTATCTTTGGCTGTTCTGCAGATTTACAATTTTCCAAATGCTAAAATTACGGATCTGCACCTCCAGGCCTGCTCTGTGGTCACATCTGTTTGTATATTAGTGCTATGTCATTAAGCATCATCCTCAGTCTAACATGTTTCCAGCATTTGATAATAAAGAAAATCTCATTCATCTTATTGCTTATAATATATATCCTACTTTATGAGTATGTCATATTTTATTCAGTTATCAGTTGGTACTTGTTCATGATACTGTATCAGATAAAAAGGAAGTTGGTGCTTGTTCATTGCATTTTATCTGATACAATTAATGATGCTGTGAATATTTAAGTTTTTGTATAGATGTATGTTTTCTTTGTTTTTTGAATTAATGTCTAGAAGATAACCTATGTGAAGTTGATTCTCTTCTTCCACCTTTACTTGGGCTCTGGGGATTGAACTGCCCAGCTTGTGGAGCAGTCACTTTGATCTGCTGAGCCTTCTCCCCAATGTCTAACTGTTAGTAACCACAAAAGAATCTGTGGAAGTAACTTAAAAATTATGTTTGTAGGTATTGTTCTTTTCTGAATTAATTTAATTTTTGAGACAGGGTCTCATGTATATCTAAGGGTTTTTATCCTGTGTTGATTTATGCTTTCAATTTGATTTGAAGATTTAATTTTGTGACATTTTAAAAATATTAAGTAACTTAAAATTTTTTATTTCTTTAGGTTTATCATCTGACACCAAACCTATGGTATGAAATCTTTTTTAATCTTTTAAAACATCCAATTTAAAAAAAAAAAAAAAAAAAAAAGTCTTTTTTCTTTTTTTTTTTTTTTTTTTTTTTTTTTTTTATGTGAATGTGTGTTGTGTCTGTGCATGTTGGGTTTCCTGAGTTCTGAGTTACAGACAGTTGTGAGCTGCTGTGTGGGTGCTGGGAATTGAACCCAGGTCTTCTGGAAGAGCAACTAGTGCTCTTAAAACGTGTGCTATCTCTCCAGCTCCACAAAGCTAGATCTTAATTCTGTACAGTTTTGAAGACTGAGTCTCTTTGTCGGTTTAGAGGGGACTCTTAGGTCATGAGTTGGTAATTTTTCAGTATAGTATGCCCTGAATTTTAAGTGTTGGACATTGGGAAGTTAGAAAACTTGCCACATACTCAAATTACTATAGATAACCTTCTTTCCTACCAGCCACTACTTTGAAAGGATAAATAGATTTTTGTTAGCTAAAGGCTAACCCTTTTGTTTTATGACCCTGAAGTTTTAGGCCTTGCCTAGTAACTTTTAGTCTAAATCTTTAAAAAAAAAAAAAAAAAAAAACGATTTTACTTTGTTTTGTTTCTTCAAAATAGGTTTTTTTTCTATGCAGCCCTGGCTATTCTGGAACTTGCTCTGTAGACCAGGCTTCCCTCGAACTTGAAGATCTATCTACCTGCTTCTGCCTCTCTGGCTCTTTGCCTCTCTACCTCTACCTCTGCCTCTGTCTCAAGTACTGGGATTAAAGGTGTGTGCCAACCACTGCCCAGCCTCTAATTCTTTTTTTTTTTGGGGGGGGGGTCTTCGAGACAGGGTTTCTCTGTATAGCCCTGGCTGTCCTGGAACTCACTCTGTAGACCAGGCTGGCATCAAACTCAGAAATCCACCTGCTTCTGCCTCCCAAGTCCTGGGATTAAAGGCATGAACCACCACTGCCCGGCTTTAGCTTCTAATTCTTAATAACTAAAAAGAATCTGTAGAAGCAACTTAATAAGTTCTATTTGTAGATATTGTTCTTTTTTTAAATCAATAAGTTAATTGATTTAATTTTTGAAACAGGGTCTCATGATTCCTGGACCATCCTGGATCTTGCTTTTAGCTGAGGATGGCCTTGAACTTCTGATTCTCTTGCTTCTACCTCCAGAATGCTGGGATTTCAGGCATGCACCACTCTGTCTGATTTATGTGATACTAGGGATCAAACTCAGGCTAGTCAGGCGCTCTACCAACTAAATTACATCTCCAGCTTGTTGCCTCTTAATATTGCCTATAAATTTAAGAGGAGCCAGGTATGGTGGTACATTCCTTTAATCCTCGCACTTGGGAGACAGAGGCAGGTAGATCTCTATGCAGTTTGAGGTAGCCTGGTCTACATAGTGACTTCTAAGCAAGCCAAGACTACATGGTCAGATGTCACAAAAAAACAAAACAATGTATGTATGTATATATTTATATATGTTATATACATATATTTGAGAGTAAAGAATGAAGAATTAGAGTGGTGTTTTCTGGGCCATTGTGACTAGTCAGTGAGTTTTCAAAATAGTGTTGTGATAAAATATATTCAACTCTGAACTCCTGCCACAGTCAATATTGTAACTGAAATTTAAATAATTTATTATTATTTAATATGTTCTAAATGATTGTACCAAGGCTTCTAAGAAAAGAGGAAAGAGAATTGAGTTCAGTGTATCATTTGTCATATAAAGTTGAGACGTTTATGTTTGCTTAAAGATACATCACTTAGCAGAGAGTTTGGTGTGACATGTTTGTAATCCTAGTATTCAAGAGGCTGGGGCAGGAGGATTGTTGCAAGTTTGAGGCCCTGTGGAGATATATAGTGATTTGAAGGCTATCTTGGGCTTTATAGAAGAGCCTGTCTGAGAAAACTAAAATCAGTCTACTTTTAGAGACTGTGTGGTGGGAGTTAATGAACTTGGACTGTGAATGGTGGACTTGTTTGTAGTGGTGCTGATTTTTATGTTGTGTTTTTTGAGCAGTGTTTAGCCTACTTTGGTCTTAAGCTCTTTTAGGCTCTTGCTGCCCTTGACGAGTAAGGGTTAGAGAGCTGAATCATTCACTGTCTATTTCAGAAGAAGCTTTTTAGTTATCATTGGGGTGGATTTATGTCACTTAGCTCCTGAGTTTGAGACAAGGTATGTTTGATTTCTAGTAGGCTTATTTGAACTTAGTTTTGAACCATAGTGTCTGCCTTCTCTTTATTATTTTTTAATGTGTCTCTATTTTTGTAGGTTAACCTGGACAAACTAAAGGAAAGAGCACAGAGGTTTGGTTTGAATGTCTCTTCCATCTCTAGAAAGGTAATCTATATGAGCTGTAATTTCCGTTTTTAGAATATTAGAACAGCATGGGAATTAGGAAATGGCTTTTGGGAAGTCATTTTGTGAAGCTAGCTTTTTAGCACTTCATTTTTATGTCATTTGAATATCACTGCCCCATAATTGATTATATCAGATCAACTATTTAACAAAATAATTTTGTTCAATAGATTGTTTTCATGTCTTTTACCCAGACAACTAAAACAGCCTATTTCTCTTTGGTACTTTTTTGAATGTAGTTTAATCCCAGTGTTTAGGAGGCAGGTAGTGAGAGCCTGTCTTTGAAAAAATGATGTGGCCTACAGTAATGTTAAAGCATTCTGGTACAGGTGTAATGGGAATAAAAAAGAAAACATGTGCCGGGCGGTGGTGGCACACGCCTTTAATCCCAGCACTTGGGAGGCAGAGGCAGGTGGATTTCTGAGTTCGAGGCCAGCCTGGTCTACAGCGTGAGCTCCAGGACAGCCAGGGCTACACAGAGAAACCCTGTCTCGAAGAAGAAAGAAAGAAAGAAAGAGAGAGAGAGAGAGAGAGAGAGAGAGAAAGGAAGAAAGAAAAAAGAAAAGATGTACCTAGAACAAAATTTGGAATTCATATAGAAATGTTTATGACCCTCCCCTTTAAAATAGCAATCTGATTATCTCTATACTGTAGATGTACAGCTTGGACACATTAACAATCTGAGGAAACTATGTTTTTAGTTTTTGGCTGACTTTTTTGTGAGTGCACATACATTTCAGTTTTTAGCTTTATAACACATTAGGTATTACATAGAAACTTAGAGAACTCCGTCTTTCCTCTCTTACTCCTGTCGGTAGGTCATCTTTCCTCTTGCTCTTTGCTTAGTGAGAGTCATGTCTGTTCTTGTCTCTACCTCAGTTCTCTGTGAATAGGATACTATTGGTTTAGGATAAGGGAGGTGACAACAGAGGGTGGCACTAGCATTTAGACAATACTTAGACAAAGGTTTCTCATTTAAGCCCCATGGTCTTAAGTGGGCTAACAGATCTCACTTCCTCAACAAAATAAACCGACATGAATAAGGTCTGGCTCAGTTGTATCTTACTGCTCACCAACCATCTTGTTTTCCAGTCTGTGCTTGACTGCTCATTTTCTTCACTGTCAGTTTTACTTGCCTCCAGAAGACATGTTGTGTTGTCCTATTGGTGGATGGGACTTGGTGATAGCAAAGAAGCGGTGATTGGATAGAGGGAATGAAGGCAGTCAGTTCAGTTGATTATTTATGGTCAGAGGACATGATTTTGCCAGAAACTAAATCTGAAAAAGCAAACAACCAAGTCTGGATTTAGGTCTGTACATTAGCTGGTCTGTCTACTTTGAGTAGATTGTTTTGCTTTATTACACACTGACATACTTGGGAAAGTAAAGCTTAATATTTTAGGAAGTTGTACAAAATGCATGTTGATTAAAAAGAACAAGAACATGTCTAAGCACTATGCAGAACCCTGGAGTATTTGTTTTTCTTCCTTCTCAGGAATATATGGAGCAAGTGGCGATGACTTTTGTGGAGGAGAAGGAAGCATCTATAGCTTTGCTAACTTTAGTTTATCTTCGTTTTTCTCTTCTAGAATATTACCAGATTTTTCCAACACTTGGAGCTTTTCATGTGATTAACTATCCTACTAAGTAATCCTTTTCTAGACTTTTTTATTCTTGTTGGCGGGTGTTAGTGAGGCTAGTGATAGATCAAGTACAGTGCCTTGTATGTGCTTCTCAAGCACTCTGTGATGGAGTTGTGCGACTCTACCCTACTCTTAGATATTCCTAGGTATTTTCATAAACACACACACACAGAGACACATGTGCCCCACATGCTTATTATTGGCTAGTGATGAGAAATTTAATAGTCTGTTAATTTTTATAATATAGTCCCTGAAGTACATCCCCCCGTTCTCTGCCTCCCAAGTGCTGGGATTAAAGGCATTTGCCATCACTCCTGGCTAATAGACACATTTAACTTAGCCACGTTTTAGGTGAATATTATTTAGGGATAAGACTAGCTTAGTTGGTGGAGTGCTGGGATCACTCAATTGCATTCCCACCACTTTGTAAACTGGGTGTAGTAGGTCATTCCAATAGTAACTCTTAGGAGATAGAAGTGGAGGATCTGAGGTTCAGGATCATCTTCAGCCACATTGTGAGGCCAGTTTGGACTACATGAGATCTAGTCTCAAAGAGACTGGGAGGGTTTGATTTTAAAATTTGGGGAAGCAAGGTGAAATTCTGGATGCTGAATCAATGATATCAATAATTATGGCTGGTACATTGCTCCATTTATCAAAAATTATATGTTTGGGACGTTTTTTTAAAAAAGAGTTATGAGTATACTGCTGCTCTTTTCAGATACATCAGAAGAGGACATCAGATCTCATTACAGATGATTGTGAGCCCTCATGTGGTTGCTGGGAATTGAACTCAGGACCTCTGGAAGAGCAGTCAGTGCTCTTAACTGCTGAGCCATCTCTCCAGCCCTGGGGAATTTCTGATGGAACATTTTCATGGACATCATTTGGGCTATTAGCTGTTTCTATTAGTTCTGTTTGGGGGAGCTCAGGAGAGCCTCTGGCTATACAGATAATGAAGGGTCATTTAGACACTGGTCTTAGTTGTAGGAACTTGACATGGGCTAGCCCAACAGATAATGCAAATCATTAGGCTATTAATTATTTCCTGTTCCTGGTTTTCTGGATGGAAAAATAGGGTTTTTCCATCTTTCCTATCAGAGGGACAATCCTGCATTGCTTAGCATTCCTGGTTTCTCTGGAGAACTGTGTACCTTTGTGTTCTGCTCCCAACACTCTGCAAGAGCAACAAGTGCTCTTAACTTTGGAGTCATAGTTCCAGTCCCATAATGCACCCCTTTGTGATATTCTGTGAACCTTACATGAGAGGTTGATATGCATGTCCCATTCGTGGCTGAGCATTCTTAGCACACTAACCAGTTAGGAGCGTGCATGACCTGCTACACACTGCAGAAAAGCAGCTTTCTGACCAAGGTTGAGAGCAGCAGTAGCCTATGGGTATAAATATAAGTATTTAGAAGATAGTTTGACAATGTGTCCACTTAGCAAGTTAATAATTGTGGGTTCTCTACCTAGGGATTTTGTCTTCCCTCGCCATGTACTTTGACCAGGTGTACAGTGCCAGGTGTGGATTTTCACATGTGGGGAGTTGGTTACCCACCATTATTGGTCATTCCATTATTTCACTCATGGGCATGTCTTGTTGGTATTATAGCACGCAGAGACCACTGCTAGCTAGTGCACTGATGAATTTTAACCATACTCCAGCTCCACTTGATCTATGTTGTGGCACTGTGAAAGCTAGCCAACAGGGAGGAAGTTTTCCAGTCATGTCTAGCTTGATATTTCTGTCTCTGAAGCAAAGTGTGCTATGTATTCAACACTGAGGTTATGGTGGACAACCAAAAACATCAACAGTTGGTTGTGTTACTTTGGTGGCCTTGAGGGTCTCCCTGGCCAAAAATTCATAGGAAATATATCTCTTACTGGGCATTCAGATTTTCATTCTGTAACATGTCTTCTGGAGGAAGCATTGTTCACCCATGTGGGGTACCTCTGTTAAGACACCTTTTTAAAAATTATAATTTAAAAATTGTTTGTTTATTATGGGGGTGATGGTGTGTGTGCTACTATGGTTGTGTGTATGTGTGTTTGCGTGTGTGTAAAAGTCAGGACAGTTTTTATATGTATGCCTCAATGTAAGTATAAGCATGTGAAGCTAGACCTGGTGGCATGTCTTTAATCCCAGCACATGGGAGGCAGAGACTGTGGGTTAGAGCCCAGCTCTTGTACGTAGAGAGTTCCAGGACAGCCAGGGCTACATAGAGGAACCCTGGTTCCCCTGCTCCCCCAAAAAAGCTCGGTTTGCTCACTCTAGAGAGAATCTCTTGTGGATTGTATAGACACATCACCTGTCAATAAAAAAAAAAAAAAACCTGTTGCCAATGAGCTGAGGTAGGAACTAGGAGGTTGGAGTTCCAGCAGAGAGGGAGAGAGAAAGGGAGGGGAGGGGGAATTCATCCCAATTCTTGAGGAGACCTTTGTATGAACCTGAGAAGAGGTTAACTAGAATAAACAGGTAATTAAGTTACAAGCTAACCAGAGAACAAGCTAAAGCTATTGGCTTAAGCATTTATTCATAAATGCTGCCTAGTGTAGGTGCTGGGAATGGAACCTAGGTCCTTTGCAAGAGCACCAACTGTTCTAATTTATGTGTATGTGTGTGCACGTGTGAGTACAGGGGTTGATGGAGGCCAGAAACCTTAGATATCCCTGGAGTTAAGAGTTACACGCAGTTTGAACCACCTGCTATGAGTGCTCTGAAGCATACCTGATCCTCTGAAATAGCAGTATGTGTCCTTTACTGCTCAGCCATCTTTCCAGCCTACTAGCCTATTTTTTTGATTGGGTGGTTTATTTCCTTATTATAGTTATTTGTATATTCTAGATACTAATCTTCTGTTAGATTGATAGCTGCAAAGATCTCTTATTCTGTAGATACCTTCTTCATTTAATTGACAGTTCCTTTGCTGTACAGACCTTTTTCAATTTCAAGAGATTCCATTTGTTGATTATTCTTTCCTGAGTTATTGGGGTCCTGTTCAGAAAGTCCCTCTCTGTATTTGTATCTTGAAGAGAGCTCTCCCTCTCCTCAAGCACTTGTCGTGTATTACATTCGCATCCTTTATCCATTTGAAGTTGATTTTTGTTTTACAGGTAGGTAATCTGGTTCCAGTATCCTTTGCTGAAAATGCTGTCTTTCCTTAAGTGTGTACTTTGAGTATCTTGCTCAGAAGTCGGATGGTTGTGGTTACCCAACTTGTATCTGGATCCTCTTTTCTAGTCCATTGATCTATATGTCTGGTTTTGTACTAGTACTGTGTTTTCGTTGTTGCTGTGAGTGTGTAATTTAACTTGAAATTGGTGTGGGAATACTTC